AGTATATGAAGATTTCGAAAAGGCATTTTTGACGATGTCTCCAATGACAACATCCATGTGAATAACATGGTGGACTGGGCAGAGCTGAGTAATTGTGACAGTTAGACATGGGGTTTTTACAATACACACAACGGTTGCTGATGAATGAATCCATCTATTATGAAGACATTCTGAGAAAACTGGAAAGTGCAGCCAACAAATGAAAAATTAGAACAAAGAAGAAAAGAGCAATCTCTAACAGTTCAGGGAGAGTACACAAACTTCACCTCACAGGGAGAAACAGAATGCAATGCACTATGCTTAATTCTCCAAAACCAAAAGAAAAAAAAAAGCTGGGCAAGATGTGACCTGTTAACAGGCCTGTAACAAAGAAAAACTTGCTTAGGCAGTGAGAGTCACATGGTGACAGGACTTCCAAAGAGGGCCGTAACGTGCACAGTTAAGAGGAGAGGACACGCTTCAGCTCCTCTCAGAGGATTCAGTCAGACATGCAGTACTGTGCGCTAGGTGACTTTTTAAAGTACATTCAGAGATAATTGACCAAGTTGAAAAAGAAACTCAAAACCATCTATGAAAAGAGTGGGAAAAACCGGAGATGTTTAGACCAATGAAGAGATGACCTGTACAGAGGATAAAACTGTTTAACAATACAATATACAAACATCCATCCATTCATCCTAGAGTGGAAAAATTCAGTTAACCATTCCTGGTTTTCCCATATTTAGCCCTACATTCATTCACTGAACAAATACGTTCTGAGCACCTACTCTGTCCAGCACTCTTCTGGGTGCCGAGCGTACTGCCTGGATGAATTTGTGCCACTCCTGCTACATGGCTAATCATACACGACATGCTTCTCCATGCTCCATTTAGTCGATGGAACCACCTTTCTTTGCAGTCACCCAGGCTTGGGAGGTAGGAATAACTAGAATCCTTCCCAAAGAAAAAATTAAAGCAATGCTGCCACGGCCATAGTCATGAAACTCAATCCACAGGCTACAAGGGTCACCAGCAAAACTGTGATGAGCAACACGTCTGCTTCTCACCTGGAACAAGAATGGCTACCACGATTTCTTCCCTGTCACTGACTTACTTTAATCTCTGTCTTTCGGCCTTTTTTATGCCATTCTTCCTCTCTGGAAGGCCCTTGTCCTTCAATCCCATCTAGAGTCAGCCTAGATCTAAGCTTTCCCAAAGCCTTCCCAGGTTCATTAAAGCTCATACAAATCATCTCTCTTTTGAGATCTCAGCACTTATGGTTCACCCACCATCGTCTGATAAACAGCTACTGCTCTGCGGTGTTTGACAGTGAACTCTTTATATACTTGTTTTGTCTTCAAAACAACACTATAAGCTCCCCCAATAAAAGGAGCCTAATACTTAACTTCCACAAATTTCTTCCAGTAGTGATGAACCTAATAACTCCAGAAGCTTGCACATACTTAGCTCTTAAAATGTGGTAAACTGTATTATCTGCCATCAAAGTATTGAACTCATTATATTTTTTTAAACTCCTTTGGACAAATACCACAAAGTGTCTCCAGTCAGATGCTTTCAGTTTAGAACTACATAAAGCTATCCCTTACACAATTCACTCCTAGTTTATTTCCTCTTAGCTTAGAGAAATCATTCCATTAAGATAATCATAAAAGTACCAATATACTTAATGTAAGTTTAAGAAAATATAACTCTTTATTCTCAAAATGAGTAAAAGTTGTATGTTTAAGTCTTTATAATCATTAGGAAATGGAATTAGAAATATTTTCCTAATTCCCTTTAAACATTTTCACAAAATTTCTGCTAAACTGCTTTACAACCATTGGCTATCTTCAACATAAAGTGTCC